GTATCTATAGAGTCATGTATAGGTATCAGTGAAACACTGAAAGAATAAATCCTTAAGTCAGTTATCAATTTAAAACATTCTTAGTATATACAGTCGGTACATTATACAAACTGGTTATAATAGAGCATTTTAGTCTGGTGAAAGGTTGAAAGAGGGACAGTATTTGTTTCTTTATAAAACCTATGCATTGTATGCTTAGACAAAACTCCATTAGTGTAAGATGCAGACTATTTGAGAAAAATGTTCTGTTATACCGTGCATTATAGTTTTTCATTCTTCTAGATGTAGTATCAATGTTAATTGGATTCCTATATGTTTGACAGATACTGGATAAAAATATAACTGTTATATAATAATAATAATAATAATAATAATAATAATAATTATAATAATAATGACAATAAAAATAATTATAATAATCATAATAATAATTATGTAAATAGATATGATGAGACTGAATAATATATACATGTATTAACAGAGTTTCTGAGTTTACACATGGTTTGTATGATAATCAAAGGGATGAGACTTACAATTGATTACACATTACTTATAATAGACTATTCTCAAGGTCTGTTTATTATCTTAAGCAACCAAATCACATAAGTCCTATCTAATTATTGTTTCTACTTTAATTGTATGGAATAAAAAGTTTAAATAAGAAATAACTTTCTCCAGTCTGGAACTTAGCTATCTGTCAGTCTGAATAAACAAAAGATGTTTAGAATTAGCCAGTCTGGCTAGGAGTTTTATATTTATTTATTCATGTTGATAACAAGCAATTTAAAGAACTTCAAGTGCTACTTTGGATAATTTAGTTTTAGTGAAAACCAAGAATGGCCATTCATTGCTATTTCTTCTGAGGTGAGCTTTCCGCACTGCCCTCAACCTCTGTAGGCATTGTATGCACAGTTTTCCCAAATTTCTCCCCCTTTCCTTTCTATTGCATCCCTCCCTCTTTTTACCAAATAACTGATGTAAATGTTGTCTAGCACTTTCATTTAAATAAGCTTGAACAGGGAAGCATCAGCGCATTACCGGGGCATCACTGGGAAAGTACTGGGGCATCACCCGTAGCTCAACTGTGGTGAAATCAGTGATGGTCAGGATGGACTGTGATGAAACCGTGTCTAGGCATGTCTCCACCGGATCAACCTGGAATGCACCGGGTAAGCATCGGCACTTAACCGTATATAGCCGGTGTTATATTGGGTACTTAAAAACAGAAATACACCTGGACTCTGTCCGAGAAGTGTAAACGCAATTTGATTTTAAAGAAAAACACCACGGAACACCCCGGTTCAACGATTTAAGTCACCGTAGCAATACCGTGGCGGGGACAGTGTTAATGGGGCTTTAATTGCTTCAATTTGACAGCCTAGTTATAAGTTTAAAGCAAGTCTGAGCTGGTTAAGATTTTGTCTATTGTAGAGTAATGGGAATATTGTAAAGGATGGCTTAGTCTGTGATTTGGGACAGCTTTACTTAATGATTTTATTTATGTCTTATTTATGTTATGGAGGAACACTGGTTTCAATATTCAGTTCTAGAACATGCTTTTAACAGAGTAGGTGTTTTCTTGCACTGTTGAATAAGTTTGTCCACTAAATTTTATGGTGGCTGAGTTGGTATTTGGACATTTCAGACAATGGACATTTCTTACCAGACACATCAAATCAGATTTTGGGACTCTTCAGAACAGATTTCGGGACATTTCGAGCCAGATATTTGGATACTTCGGTCCATACATTGGACATTTGGGACCAAACATTTAGACACTTAAAACAATTTGTGGGATTATCGGACCAGATTAAAATGTCAAATTTTGTTATATTCATTTTACAAAGACATGGAAAAAACAACAAAGTGCCATGGGCTCCGGGAAAAAATACAACAAAACTACTTCAAAGTCGTATTGTTTAGTTTTCGTCTGGTGCCTACCAAAGCAAAAGTACAACATGGCACAAATCAGCCACCGTAGCATTTATAATGTCCTTTTTTATTTGTACAAAAATATAGAAATAGAACAATGTATTAACAAAGTTTTAACTATACATGTATAAATAATGGAATTATGAATAAATGTCTCATCCCATTTCAGGAAAAAAATATTATATTGGTAATGTATTGTTAAATATTGTAAATATTGTCAGAAGAATGTGTGCATGTATATATTGGATTTTTTTTATTGAGAATTAATTTAGTACCTGTTGTTTTTTTAAAGCTGTCTAACCGTAAATAATAGAACTATCAATAAACGCCTCATCCCATTTCAGTTAAAAAAATATTATAATATTGGTAATGTATTGTTAAATATTGTAAATATTGTCAGAAGAATGTGTGCATGTATATATTGTTTTTTTTATTGAGAATTAATTTACCTGTTTTTTAAGGCTATCTAACCGTGTCTGTCATTGTTTAGACGTGTTCACTTTTAGGAACAAAAAAGGTGTAAGCGGCCAGACAGCTCAGTCGGTAGAGCCGCGGTACGGTATTATGAGGGTCACGAGTTGGGACCCTAGCTGTGACTGCCATATGGCCCAGAGTTTAATTCACATTGCTCTGTAACCCTTGGAAATTCGAGAAAATATTTGCATATATAGTATGGTTTAGAACTTAGGGGAGATAAAGTGTAAGCGGCCTAATACCTCAGCGGGAAGAGCCACGGAATGGTACACGTACATGTACATGTATTCCGAGAGTCAGGGCTTCGAGTCCCTGCCAGACTGTTACATATCAATATAAATCTGTTAATAAGAAATATGAAAAATGGGAAGGAATATTCTAAATAGGATTCGGAAGTCTGTGTAGAAACGTCAGAAGATGAACTGGTTTAAAGGGGGTGGGGGTGGGGGGCTAGTCTTTTTACCATAACATAATGTCTTATGAACCTGATATCGGATATATTAGTACGATTATAGACAAATGTCTGCTGAATTAAATATCAAAACATGTTGCATATTTATCCTAAGCGTATGTAACATAGGATTTAATCGAAACTTCGGCGTAAAGTACTTCGGAATCCAGTACTCACCATGAAATGAAAATACCACAATAATATTTCTCTATATAATATTTCTATTCTTCAAGAGACACTGAACATCTTTTACTTCTTTAAGAAACACAAAACTTACAAAATAGATTTATTTAAGTTATTTGTTAACTTCTCAAAAGTAACAGAAACAGAATACGGAACTTTTAAAACGTTTAGACGAACGCAGACGCACGCTAAACGTTTCTAGGGATATCAAACGCACGATTTCAAACGCACGATAAACGAAAAACGATACACGAGAAACGATAAACATTAAACGCTTGTAAACGATGCACGCGTGAGAAAGCGTTACATCAAACGCACGTTGCATGGTATACAAACGCACGATATACGAAAAACGCACGCACGAAAATCACTATTTTAGACAACCGAAACGTTCACCCTACTGTATGTAGTCTATGCTTAATGAGGGTCCATCCGCCCTTTTGGGCACAATTTGCAGCTTTCGCTTTCGAGTACGGACCTCGGACATGTCACCAGTGATGCCCTAAAAATTTAATGTTGAAGAACAAAGTGCTGTTTATTTACTTTCATGCAATTTCCACGGAGTATTAGCCAAATATTATGTACTTTGAGCCAAAAGTAGGTCTCTGTACGGCGATCAATGAGAACCTAATTGTTCAGTAACCTGTGGCAATATGAAAGGGTAGCCCTGAAAAGGGCTGTTGGTGCCAGCAAAAGGCCTGCCGTTCAAGCCGTTTAACCGTGCTTTGGGCTCATGCACATTAGCACATCATCTTCGTCGACCCAAGCGCCTACTTTGTTGGGCCACTCTCATCGGCTTTAGTCAGCACATCGGCAGTTGGTCCACAGCACAAGTTCCGATCTTACTTCGCCGTCCCCAGTCTTCAAACTTTTTGCTGATGCCCTGTGTCTTCTCAACGACGTGCACGTACAGAGTGGAAGAGAGAAAGTGGTAAGGTCAACATTCTGTACATAATTTTACTTTAATTCTTCTGCCTTTATTATGACTGTGAGATCTGTTTTCTTTAATGAAAATAACCTCTTGTGACTGTCAAATTTTTAAGAATATTGATACCAGTGCATATATCAGAATATTACGCCTCCTAAACGCGAAGTAAAGTGGCACAGTCTAGGAATTTTGACAGTTTCCTTCTCACTCCTTCTTAGAAAAAGAACACTATTAGTATAAAGCACGCACTAGCAATAGCAATACATAACACTAAGACTTTGGTATAATTAACAAAGCATCACTAAATATTACCCACAAACCCATGTGTTATTTATATACTGCCATATTTTCCTTCCCATTTAATGTTGGAGGATTGAATACCGCTTAAACCTGTGTAAGTGGACGTGAGAGATGTTTGAACTTTTCATGATATCAGAAAGAAAGTCAGCCATTCTGCATATAGACTTGAAACTTTGATTAGGACATAGGCGAATTGTAAGGTCAAGGTCACAGTAAATTTAAAGAGAAATTACGCCAAATGTTGCGACAACAGCTTCCAGTAGTAAATAATCTGTTTGAGATCGATTAGATGGGGATCTATTTTCTACAGGTTTCTGGTTGGGGTCATTTACCTTCAGAGAGTGTCAGGTTTTATAGAAAATCAAAATTTCTATAGAATATTGACCGATGTGTCAAAATTCCATAGGGGTCACTTTACTTATTTACACCGACAGTTTATCATATATTCTCCGAGGCTATAGCTCATTGGTCATTAAACATTTTGCTTCAGTGTTCATTATATTGACTCACTTGTCTAGAGAGATGTGTATGTACATTTGTCACGATTTTTACGAACAAAGGACAGATAACATTATTTCGGAACATCCCCTTTAATAATATTGATTACAATATTTATACGAATGTTTTATTACATATGCATCTACGACCTTAGAATTTCTAAAGATGAAATAAATTCTTTAACGTTAATTTAGTAGAATTTAAATAACAATATTTGTATAAACGTGGTATCACCTTATATGCAGCGTCTCCCATTAATTGTTTAGCCGAGTCAGTCCATATAGCAGGCACAGTCAAAACCCAGTGTATGTCTTTGTCCTGTACCGAGAAAAGTTCCTTTTTTAACAGATTGATCAGGTGGTCTTTCAGATATTTAATAACAGCACCAATAACGTCAATAGCTTTCATCTTTCTTTTTTTGTCATCTTCAATCTCTATGTTCCGTGTTATCTGTTGAATAACCAAATTAAATATAAGAAAACGGAAAGAATAGCAATTTAAATTTGATACAGCCTTAATCGTTGACAGCATTAAACACAAAATGTACACGAATCTCGGATACCTTTATGTAGACGTCTATGTCTTTCGATTTTTTTGCAAGCTTTCAATTGAATCAAATTCAGGCCTAAGCTGCACTACATAATATATACTGATATCGCAGGGATTATTGTTTAAAAGTTTATGTCAATAAAAAACTAAAAACCTTGAAGAACTTGTTATTTTATTATATGCTTTTCTCTCAGTGGACAGTGAATCAATCTATATTTAACAATTTTACAATTTAATTATTAAATATAAATTTCACAGTAGCCGGAGAATATATCTGAATGCGGATGAAAAGAATATTATAATAAATAAGTGGAAATGTCGCCAGACACATACACCCTCGTGAGGACAAAGTGCCTGATTAAGAGAAACATATGGATATCTGCACATACGTTTTCAAAACTTGAAAACAAATCGAAAATTTAGAATGTACATAATTATTTTTCAACAAGAACAAAGTGATTTATGATTTTTTAGACGCCATGAGAGCGTGTCGTAACGCGGCAAAATATCAGACAAAAGTAAAGTATTTAGTACTTAAATATTTAAAGTTCTAATATATTGAATTTAGAAAATGTGTTTGCTTTGAATTTATTATAAATTACATTTCACTTGTGAACACAAGCTCTTCTATATTCACCTCTTGTGTTCTCTCTGTGAAATGTATTTGAATCAGCAAAAAAATCCTGTTTTAGTCACTAGAGCTAGATCTAATTTATGTTTTTATGATATCTGATGTTCAAGTTTCATGTAATATGAAAACTAAATGTCATGCAAATTATTATGTTGTACAAACAATAAAAACACGGTGTTTTCCAATAGATTTATCTTACGAATGTTCTACTTAACAATCATCCTATAACATAGCTATTTACATTTATAAATAGATCTAGATCTAGATTCTTTACCTAGTAAATGCAATGGACATTATGCACTGTAAGTTTATGTATATTTCTTTTAACGCTAGTTTTTTCATCAATCTCCATTTGCTTTCGATATATGCAGCCCACTAAAAATGTATTCAATAGCTTGTTTTTCATATTGAAATAGGTATAAACACTTTTTACCATAGTATATTTTAAATCTATTAAAAAGTAAGAATAACTTTGCTTACATATCTTCCTGATAATTTCATCATAAAGTTTTTGAAGAAATACCATCTGTGGTGTTCACGTCCGTCAACTAATTCTGCATATCTTTCCTCTGCATCAAAACCAAAGCTATGGAACGTTTTGTTCTCGTCGAATAACACGACAGAGCGATTATTACGTGAAATCCCCCAAGGTGTGCTCCAATCCATGTTACTCTTTATTTTCAGGTGATCCACTCGATAAGAGAAGGCATGATTGCTACATGCATTGCCAACTTCAATAGCAGCCACAAGCAACTTGTCTGTATTCACTCTTACATAGCCACTGTTCGTGCCATCAGCTGGTTTCCTCCTACATTTGTATAATATTATTAAATGTACTAGTAAAAATAAAAATTTTAGATTGCTATCTTGTTTAACCATTATTACTGTATCTAATAAGTGTTAAAAGTATCATTCAAGTTCAAAATTATATTAAAGCAAACATTTAACTTCACGTCATGTTTTGAAACATTGAACACAAACAGACATGGAAGGTATATCGTAGGGTGCCCTATTTGTCCCTGTCCACTTGTCAAAAACTTTACTGTGTATGTCAGAAAGTCTCAACAAATTTTCGCTTAGAACGATATCAGTTGGTTTCTTTAAAAATAAAGATAAATCTACCAAATTTCTTCAACATAGAACGCTTAGAAAATATAGTGCATCAAACTAGCACTGTAAATGCTTAGGGTAACGAATCATAACCACCGGTGAATACATTTTAACTCTTAAAGGAGCAATAGTCGCCCTGTAATGGCTGTACTCATTGTAACATGAGTTATTTGAACTGAAAGATTTATGTACACTTCCCATCAATTATAACAAATAAAATTGAGCTGAAATTTTAGTTCAAATGTTTTCTTCTGAGTAGGACTCTAATTCTTGTAAAAAGCATTTCTATTTTATTAAAATAACTTATGTATTCATCTTCAATGCAGCGTAAATATACCGATCATGCATTTGATTAAACAGATCCCCTTTTTATGTTTTGTAAAATATAATAGGTTTTTACTCGAAAGTGAGTTAAAAAAAATCTTCAAAAAATGTAAACGTTAATAAAATTAATATGAATCAGAAAGGTACAAACATTCAAGTCATCAAATAAAGATAAGCAAAAAACCAAAGGATATGTGGTATGAAATCCACCCTTTAATCTCTCTCATTCACACTTCATGTTATTTTGTATCAAACATGTAACATGCTTACAATACCTAAACGAAAGCCAAAACAACCCAAAAACGGGGACTCATAACGTACCTTGTTAGAGCAATTCCACATTATAAAGTACATATATATAAAATGTTATTATTAAATACATATTTCAGTTCAAATACGTTATACATTGTATTTTCATTTACAGAAACAAACATTACTATCCTCAATCGTTTTTACATTCATATGAATTTTTTTTATTCTTTTAAGATATAATTCATTTCTATTAACTATTTCACATCATTTTGCTCTTAAGATCTACAAGATTCAAAACAGTATATATGCATACAATGTTTAAATATAGATAAAATTAAATTTCATTCCAATGTCGTGTGTACAATATTAAATTAATATTAAGTACTTCAAACTCAATTAAGATCAAATTATAGAATATATTCCAACATTATATTTAAAAGGAAGTATTAACGATATTTCAATACCCCGTTGGTAGATCAACCTTTACTATATAAACGAGCTTGCTTTTCTTTCTATCCAAATCACGTTCGCATTCTTTTATTTTCATATCCGTTTCAATGTTTCCTTGGTCTGCTTTTTTATAACAATGGAGTTCTTTTGACAATTTCTCATTCTCCTTTCTAACTTCATTTAATTTAGCTAATACTGTCGCATTTTCTTTTTGTAGCTCTTCCATTGAATGTTGCAAAGATTTAAACTTTAAATCATTTTCCTGTACCCTTCAAGCAAACATAAAAATATATTTCAATTTTTTAGGAATAAACTTCAGCATTTATTAAAAACAATTGTAATTCCTAGTTTGGAGACTTCATAATCGAAAACGTGTCTTTTACTTTCAAGCACTTAGAATAGTCAAGTGTGCTGTCCTACCGACAGCTCTTGTTTTATATTGTAACAAGTCATAATTTGTTTTTCAAGACTGTTCTCTTTGATAGTAAAAAAAAGAATTATACACTATTTTGATTGTCTATTGTTCATAAAACATTCCAACATGTATGTCCTCCTTGTATTGAATGGCAACAGTATGAAATGTGCCTCTCTGTGCCAAAAGTAAATTAAATCATAGCACACAAGGTCAAAACCTGAATATCGGTATTGCATCAAAAAGACATTGGGCCGATATCTAGCCGTGTTGCAAAACAAAGTCAAAAAGACATAGATGCCGATGTCGGGCCGACACCAACATCAAAATATTCGGCTATGCCCCTCGTACAAAACAGATTTTGCTCTTTCTATTACATACCCGTCATAACAATAAAAACATAATTATTTGTATGCTTGTATGCTTTACATCTTTCATGCGTGTTCAAGCTCAGACGTATGGAAGCCCTGGACCCCAAATCTGACTTGTGACTGATGACTTTGATTTCTGACTTGTGACTCTTGAATTATAACTTCTGGTTTGTGAATTTTAGTTTTTAAATAATTTGGTGCGCGCATTTCTACAGAGTGCTAGAGAAAGTGTAAATTATGTTTTTGACATGCAATTTTATGGTATAGAATATTTTTCTATAATACTAAAATAAAGTCAGTTGGAACTGGTAGTGGGTAGATTAACCTATCTATATTTTATTTTTCTTTTTCCACCCATTTTGCTACTTCGGTTAATTCGCTATACAGTATTATCATTTATTTATGTTGAATTTTACACAGCTATTTTGTTGCTCTAATTTGTTTAACACGTTACGAATCATATTAGTGTAGATCATTCAAAAAAAATAATATGATACTTTATTAAGCGAAAAACTTTTAAAATGTGATAAGGTAAATGAGCAAACAAATAATCAAAGATTTGACCATCATTGATTTAGTGGGTTTGGTAGTTTTCACTCAAATCACGGCAATAAGCCATATTTAATTTACCAGAACACAGTTCAGCAACCGCATAGTTCCTGGGCAGGCTGTAAAACCAGTTAACCAGTACTAGTTGCCTTCATTTTTGCAAGGTTCTTATTACTTTTGTACTTGCAAGAGCAGTGGTACAGTGCGAATAATCAAACACAACAAATTTGGCCTGTGCATCCAGGAATCGAACCTTGGTCGCTCGATTCACAGTCGAACGCTCTACCTATTTAGCTAACCGGACGACTGAAATACCACCAGCAATTTAACCTATGACAGCCGGACAAGATTTTCCTATATTAAGCTCTGTCTGCCACTTTGTTCAGCGGCAACATGCCCAACAAGGAATTGTACTGATCGCTCCTGTGAAGTTTCATTGAACTCACACCAGCAGTTTGACATATGGAAGTCGGAAAGATTTTTCTGTTGATAACTTTGGCGGCCATTTTGTGCCGTGAATCGGAAATTACCGATGATATGCACAACTAGAGTTGGAATGGTGTAGTTTTGTTGAAATTCCCCAGGGATTTTACCTTTGAAAGCCTGGCAAATTTAATGGGGACTGATTGACACTTGGACAGACGGTGAAGGCAAAAAAATTAGGTAAACCAAAATCTTTGGGATATAAAATAAATGTGAATGGTATATTACTATTTCATGAATTTTTATGAATATTCGCACATCTCCTAATTTAGTAGGACTTAAACTTACTTAAATCTATGCCATGGAGTCGATTTAGACAATTATTTGAAGATCACACAAATGTTAAAGAAAGACAAACGGAATTTTTATCTGACCTTTTTACGACGTAGTTACTTTGATACGCTTTTTTATCTAAAATTATAACTCAACAAAAATAATTTAAAACCGCAACTTATTTCAACTAACATTTGCAGTTTGAACCAAATGGGTCTGATGATTTTTTTTTTTTTTTTTTTTTTTTTTTTTTTTTTTTTTTTTTTTTTTTTTTTTTTTTTTTGGAACCACGTTTAAGGCCCGTTTATTTAAGAAAAAAATAATACAATACAAGTAAACAAACCATGATAACTTTAGCATTTTCATTGACATGTAGATAATTAAAGAAAAAAAAATTATTTTGTTATGTTTTTAGTTAGAATATATAAGACATTTTAAAAAGTTAAGAGGTTCATTCATTTATCCAATTACACAAGAAAAGGGGCAAAAGGTTGAAAAGTAAATAAAAAGTAAAAAGTAAATAAACTGCTTTAGTAGCATTTTTTTCTTCATGTACTATTTAGAAATCAAACAATTCAATTAGATTTATCCAGCAATTTTCAAATTCTTCTAGTGTATCATTTTGTAACGCAACAAATCTTTCAATTTTTAATCTGTTTAAAAATTTTCTTTTGAAGATACTTATATCTGGAGTTTGTTTTTTTAATTTACTGGTGTAAATGTAATATTTTGAAAAGAGAAAAATATACGATGTTTTCTTATCTTTAACATGAAAGAAAGATGTGAAATTATCATACGTAACATTTATTGCTATTTCATTAAGCCATTTGAATAAATTATTCCAGAATATTTGTACTGTTTGGCAGTCCCAAAATAGGTGTTCTATACTTTCAACATCCATACAGCAAAAATCACAGAGACTAGATTCGGTTAATTTACATTGAAGGAGAAATTTGTTTGTTGCAATATTCCTGTGTAAAAAATTATATTGAAAGTTTTGTAAAATATTATCTTTGCAATAAACAAAAACGTTTTCGTAAATATTTTGCCATTGAAATTCTTTTTGAGGAAATCGTTCTTCCCATTTTATTTGCGATTTTGTTTTTTTATTTTTACAGAGTCTTATTTGTTTTTGAATCTGTGTTAACTTGTTACTAATATTGGACGTGTTTGTTTTTTCTATGATATCAAAAGTGCTTATTTCTTTAGGCGTTGAAGTTTGATTAATTTGTGGTAGTTTACGTTTCCATTCTTTGGGTATTGATGAAATTAATTTATAAAAGTTAAATATTTCTGTATTAGGAATGTCAAAAGTACGTTTCAGCTGGTCAAAGGTTTTAAATTGTTTTGTTTCAGTGTTAAAAATGTCCTTTATTCTATTGATATTTCGACATTTCCATTTTGGAAAAAGAATTAAAGATCCATTATTTTTTATGTGTGAATTCTGCCATATTATTTGGTCTAATAAATTTTGTGGATTTTTATTAAAATTTAATTTACTCCATGACAGTAGTAATTCTTTTAAGAATGTATTTTCAATTTTAAGTTTCTGTATATCATATGTGTTTAAATTACTTTTAAATATGTCGATTCCACCTATTTTTTGTAAATTTTTCTTTATTATCTCTTTCCACAATCCATGGTTATTTTCATCAAATATTCTTTTGATCCAGCTTGATTTAATCGAGTTCATAAAAATCGGCAAGTCTATCATATTTAAGCCTCCATATTTAAAGTCTTGTATAATTACATCCCTTTGAACTTTGTCTCTTTTTGAGTGCCATATAAATTCAAAACAATTTTGTGTTTTCATAATTTCTTCTGGTGGACTCGGAAGAACAGATATTATTAAGGTTAGTTTTGAAATAATTAAGGATTTTAAAATTGATATATTGCCAATTGTTGTTAAACGTCTTGCCCTCCATCTATTAATGTCTGCTTTAAATTGGTTTAATTTATTCTCGTAATTTATTTTGGTTATTAAGTCACATTTTGAGTGGAAAGTTATGCCTAATGTTTTTGCACATTCTGAGGTCCCAAATTATATTTGAATATTTTTTTCTACAATAGATTAAATCATGTTGATTTCTAAGTGAACCTATTCTGAGAACTGTACATTTTTTGTAATTAAGTTTAAGACCAGAAATAAAGGAAAATTGTTCAAATATGTTCAAAGTTTCTTCAAAGCTGCTTGATTTACCATTTAATATTATAGTCGCGTCGTCTGCAAACATGCTATTTTTAACTTCTACATCAAAAATTTTAAAACCTTCAATATTCCTATTTTGTCTTATAGCTATTGACAATAGTTCAATTGCTAGGATAAATATATAAGGAGACAATGGACATCCTTGTCGTACTCCTCTTTTTATAGGGAATGACTCAGACAAAAAACCATTGTAAAGTATGCAACTCGTGGGTCTTTTGTAAATAAGTTCAATCCATGCTTTTAAATTTGGTCCAAAGTTAAAAAGATCTAATGTTTTAAATACGTATTTGTAGCTTATGCTATCGAATGCTTTTTCAAAATCAGCAAAAAATAGAAGTCCCGGTTTATCATTCTTTTCTGCATACTCTATCACATCATAAAGCAATCTTATATTTTCACCTATGTATCGCCCTTTAATGAAACCTGTTTGACTATCATCAATGAGTGTATTTAATACACGTTTAATTCTATTAGCGATAACCTTAGTAAGTATTTTATAATCTACATTCAATAAACTTATTGGTCGCCAGTTTGACAATATTGATAAATCTTTATTTGGTTTTGGAATTAGAGTTATTAAACCTTGTGCTTGTAGCTGACTGAGACAATTAATTTCAAAACAAAAATTCAGAGCACTTATCAAATCATCTTTTAAATAATTCCAAAATATTTTATAAAATTCTATACTTAAACCATCTGAACCTGGACTTTTTCCATTTTTCATATCTTTGATGGCAGTTTCGCATTCAGTTTGCGTAATAATTCCTTCACAAGATTGTTTTTCGTTTTCATTTAGTTTTGGTGTTGTTTCGCCATTGAAAAAATTGTAATTTGAGGGAGTTTCGTCTTGAATGGTATATAGATTCTCATAGTATTTTTTCTGTTCATTTAAAATGTCTGTCTGATTTGTTAAAATATTACCATTTGCATTTAAACATTTTATAAGTTTACTTTCCGCATTTCTTTTTTCTAATCCTTTTAGTAATTTTATATTTCTTTCGCCATTATTTATTTTGTAACTTTTTATTCTAGTAATTACACCATTAATATTTTCAGTATATAAGTTATCCAACTCTGCTTTTTTGATATCTAGTTCTTTTTTTAAATTGTCATTAAAATTTTCTAGTTTAGTTTCTATTTCATCAATTTCTTTGACAAGTTTGGTTAGTTTTTCTCTTTCGATTTTCTTTTTATACTTTGAATATTTAATTGTTTCATTTCGAATAGTACTTTTAATTACTTCCCATCTGGTTTGTGGATTTGCTAGTATATTTAATTGTCGTGTTTCAGTAATGGATTTTTTTATTTTTTCTTGATATTCTTTATCAAAGAGAAGACTATTGTTTAATTTAAAAACCCCTGGGCCTCTTTTAACTAAATCAAAACTGATATTGAAAAATGCAATTGAATGATCTGATCTAAAGCTAGTTTTGATTCCTGTAGTTTTAACAAAATTTACTAAGTCATTTGAAACAAGAAAATAATCCAACCTGCATGCTATATTTGCATGTGTTTTCGATCGCCATGTAAATCGTTTGCTTTGTGGATTTTGGATCCTATAAATATCTAAAAGCTGGTATGTTTGTATAATATTTGTAATTTTTTGACGACATTTTAAATGAGTAAAAGCATTTCCTCCCTGTTTGTCGATGTTAGGATCAATTATTGTGTTAAAGTCTCCTCCTATTATAAAAACGTGTTGTATTTTGTCTTTTAAAAATAACTCTAATTTTTGAAAGAGGTCTACATCATCCTTGTTTGGACCGTATATATTTATTATTATTATTTCTTTATTTTCAATATTTACTTTAATTGCCAACAATCTACCAATTTCAATTTCATATTTTTCTAGAATTTGTATTTTCAAATCATTTCTGAACAAGATAGCAACACCTTTTTGATTATTCGAATTGCCACTACATATAATTGTACCATCCCAGTCATTTTCCCATTCATCTTTACAAGTTTCTTTAAAATGTACCTCTTGAAGTAAACTTATATCAACTTTTTCTGATCTTAACCAATGAAAAACGCTCGTTCGTTTAGTTTTACTGGATAATCCATTTACATTATATGTAAAGAAAGAAGTATTAGACATTAAGCTGTCAGTGACAAAAGATGTATGCTACCAAAGCAGTTGGATACAAGTATCATAAGAAGAATACATACAATGGTTCCAATGAGCAGATATTTTCTTATAGAATAAAACAGAAAAATAACTAAAGTGAGTGTAATCATAAAATCAAAAATAGAAGCTACGGCAGTATACTACGTGATCGCCTTTTAAATAAGTAGGTTCCAACATTAATTTCTCAAGCAAAAAAAACAAAAACAAAAAAACTGAATCTTACTAGAATATAAAATAGATAACTTATTTTCAGAGTAGTAGCAATAGAAGAAGAACAAAAAAAGAAGACTAATTCTTGATGCGTGAGGGTTTAGAAAAGGCTATAAAATTCGAAACTTATTAATGTTTGATGTAATTTTCATATTGAAAAAAAACTTTTAAAAAAGGATTGCTTATTAAGCAGCACGTCAACAATTGAAAGGATTACAAATGAAAATATATAACCAACATTTTCCTATACAAGCAAACTGAACATTACATATATACATGCATGCATGCATGCATACATACATACAGACACGCACGCACGCACATACATACATACATACATACATACATACATACATACATACATACATACATTACATAATCGTACCTACATATATACAATTAACGTGTCTCATAGACTGCACAGTGACTTGGAAACATAATTATTCTTAACTTGCCGCAAACAGAAAAATAATAATAAGTTCCAATTACAAATGAATGTATAAGAACTATGAATCAACAGTTTATCTAAGCCAATATACACTTATATTTCACTGAAAAGTATTGATAATATGTGTCCTTATGTATCAATAGCGTATCTAATCCCTTTTGATAATGTACTTATATAGCTTTATTCACATGTACGTGTACATAATCAGTCACATGTACGTGTACATAATCAGTCAATATTTCCTCTTTAAGATTTTTAAGTTAATATTTGACACTTCACAAAATATTGTTAATACTCAGACATTGTGATGAAAATATATATATAAAAAGAAAACGCTGCATGATAGGAAAAAAAAAACGTTCGTAACGCAACTCAGCGTAACTAATCCCTATTGATAATGTACATATATAACATTATTCATAATCACATGTATCTAAAAATAATAAAGTTTTACATGTAGCTACAAAGTATATTTAACAGAAAACGATGGTGCTAAATAATCACTTTAAAGTTGAAAAAAAATGGAAGTCTGCTTCACATAATATTGTTAATACATGTGATGAATATATATACATGAAAATGCTGCACGATAAAGAAACGTTCGTAACGAATAGAAATATTACATTACTTTTGTATCAATAGCATATCTAATCCTATTGATAATGAACACATATAACTTTATTCACGTGTACATGGACATAATCAATTTTAATAACAAAATTTAGTATGTAGCTACAAAGTAATTTAACAACAAAAACATAGTACTTAGTAATCACTTTAAAGTTAAAAAATACAGACGTCAACATCACAAAATATTGTTGATACTTATACATTTTGATGAACATATAAAACGCTGCATGATAGAAAAACGTTATTAACGCACCTCAGTCGTTGACCTCAAACATATTCACAAACTACTAATACATTTAAGTTTTGAAATATGAATACTCATATACAATGTGTTTACATAAAATACTTCCTCTTTTAGATATTTTATCGAAAATTAATTGAAGAGGAAGAAATATAGAGGTACATTTCATTACTATTAATTCAAAAAAGATATGTTACACTTTCCTTCAACTGAAAGGGAGCAGAAAGCTCCAGAAAGACACGAAATTATGAAGGAAATTAACAAAATCATAGTCATTGTTATATTTGTTTAAACGTTTATATTTTTCTTTTTCCATTTGATCTGAATTTACGAATTTGATGATGTATTATTGTGAGATCTGTCTGGCCATGGGAGAGATAGCCACCTGTCATACTCATGGAAATGAATTTGGCGTGATGTTGAATTATATGGTTTCAGTGGATTTGTTGATCTAAATGTTGCATATAGCTTTCCTTCAAATGTCCATGCTTTTTCAATTCTTTGCGTATCCTTTAATCGAAGGGACATAAGTGTTGATTAATGCGGGTTAGATCATCGTTCATGTATATCCTCGTGCCTTTTAATGATTTTGCGTTTTTAATAATATCTATTTTTGTTTGTCTTCGGACAAGTTTGACAATAATAGGCCGATCGTTGTTTTCCTTGTATGGCCCGATTCTGTGGGCTATGTCTATTTCGTCGTCATTTATAGTTAGCCCTAGATTATCGCTGTACATTTTCAGAAACTGACATTTTGTTTGAACTGACGTCTGTTTTGCGGAATCATCTTTTATCCCAGTAACTCGCAGGTTGTTTCTGCGGCTATATTGTTCCTGTTCATTGGCATTCTCTTTTAATTTTTCATTTTCTGACTTTAACTTTTTTTATTTCACCACATAATTCTTCGTCATTTGATTCAATTTTTTCTCTCTAATCTTGCTTTATTTGACTCCATATATTTTACACATTGTGAGGTAGACATTGACTTGTTGTGTATTTCATTTTATCTCAAAACCTCCAAAAGCTTAATGACAGAGCCTAGAAGTTGCTTTTTCATTTCTTCAAAAGTGTCTTTTATGATTTCTTTTATAAATAGTCTGTCATCTTTTGTTAATACGTTACTCAATTTTTCGTCAATTTTGTCAAGTTTTTTTTCAAGGTTCGATTCTGTTGAAGACATTACTTTTTGCTTTTTGCTTTTCTTTTTATTTTGATGGGATCTACTTTTATTTTTAATTTGAATTTCTTTTGAAGAATTTCTACTGATATTCGATTCTTCAATAGATTCGTTTAGACTTGTGAACGAGTTACCATAAGCGCTAGTATCTAGGTCACTACAACTTGTTGTGGACTCTTTTTTCCGTTTACTACTCGTTCCATTCATAGCGTGCACATTCTAGTACAGTGTTTACAATAATAATGTACATAAAATACTTGGTAACTCAAGCGTGACGAAATTTTGGCTAGACTGTCTAGGCAGTTTGCTCACTAATTGCACGAAATTCACGCTATTCACGCACTTTCATATCCCACCCATTTTGAATGTATATGTAAAAATTTCATCAGCGAATTAAGGCAATTTCACAGTAAAAAAGTCAACTTTCAGTATACCATTTAAATCTGTATGTCATATCTGTATATATCTCATATTTTGCTCTATTGGCGATCACGTAGTTTTGTAGAAATTAAGCCTTACATTTTATAAAAAGATTGTTTACTTTTTCAAAACCGGAAGCGGAAGTATCTGATGATTTCTTATCCACACGATGGATATTCACATGTTTGGTTTGGCAGACGGACAAAGTAAAAAAAAACACTGCAAATTCCTGCAATCACTCACTTAGTGGTCTTTTCAAACACTTTAGGAATGATTTAGTCAAAAAGGACGAAACATCCTGCACACAAAAATGGAAAAAATACCATTTCAAGATGATGCAATGAAAGCCTTGTCAATTACAAGCAAAACAATCACAGTTGGAAAGCTAGTATGACAAAATTATGATATTAAATAAATTTCGATGAAAATAAACAATAAAGAATTAGCTGACGATAATAAAGGGAAAACTAAAATAACCCAATACTGCTAAGATGATAAAATAAGTTTTGCTGACGTTGCAATTATTGAAATATTTTAAAAGGGGATTTAAATTTTTTTAAATGATGACTTACAAATCGAATTAATATACCTTTCTTGTAAAGAGTCCTGTTTTGGTGATAGCTTTTTGTACTCATCAGCAGCTGTCTTTTTTCCGTCTTTAAGAATGTTTTGCAAGTGCTCTATATTTCTAGTCGCCATTTCATCACAATGGATCTGTTCATTTTCTAAGGGTTTACAAGCAGTTTCCAATTCATTGATTCTTGTTTGCTGGCATTGATTTTCCTTTGCTAATTCATTGACTTGTTTCTTTAACTGCATTACCTCTGCCTCTTTGGATTTAAGATCTTTTTCAACTTTCATTGTCTTCATGTTCTCATAATCTAATCTGTAAATATTGCACTTAATACTTCAGGTTCAAATGTTTAAATAAGAATTATAAGTGTTGTGTTTATTTATTAAACTAACTGTGTAAAAGGCAAAGTATCGAGATATTTTTTTATGCAATATGTAATTCCTGCGGAAGGGTTGTGAAGCCTACTCGCAGTAAGCCTTGAATATTTGCATACTTGAAAATCATTAATTGAGTGTAGATTGTCTTTTTTCGTAATTGAGGTTATTTGTCAAAGAGATATGATTTTGTATAAAAACCTTATGCTGCAAAAATCGTTATCAAACGTTTATAAGCATTTGCTATGTACTCGACACACGTTATACGTTCTTCACATCTCGGAATTCGGTCGAACTTAACCTTATTTAAATCTGATATTGAATAACATGTGATGAAAATAAATGATAAAGGAATCAGCTGACAGTAATAAAGAGAAAACAAAAGTAATTAAATACCGCAAATGTAATGTTTTGAATTTTCTGACGTTAAATTTATTAACATATTTATAAATAATTTAAAAATGTTTCAATAATTAGGTACAAATGGAATTAAGATATTATTTACTTGTCTTGTAAAGTATCTTGTTTTTCCAAGAGCTTTTTGTACTCATCAGCAGCATTCGTGTTGTCGTCTTTTAAAATATTTTGAAAGTGCTCAATATTATAATCGCCATTTATCCACCTTTGATCTTTTCGTTTTCTAAATTTCTACAAGCAGTTTCAAATTCATTGATTCTTGTTTGCTGGCATTGATTTTCCTTTGATAATTCATTTACTTGTTCCTTAAACTGCATTACCTCTGCCTCTTTGGATTTAAGATCTTTTTCAACTTTCATTGTCTTCATGTTCTCATAATCTAATCTGTAAATATTGCACTTAATACTTCAGGTTCAAATGTTTAAATAAGAATTATAAGTGTTGTGTTTATTTATTAAACTATCTGTGTAAAAGGAGGTAAAAAGATACTCGAATAAGGTAAAACTAGCTGTGTAAAAGGTAGAGTATCGAGATCTTTTTATGCAATGTGTAATTCCTGCGGAAGAGTTGTGCATCCTACTCGCGGTAAGCCTTGAATATTTGCATACTTGAAGTTTATTAATTGGGTGTATATTGTCTTTTTCGTTATTGTGGATGATTGCCAAAGAGATCTGATTAAGACCCTTATGCTGCTAATATCGTAGTGGAACGTTTGCTTATGTACTCGACACATGTTACACGTTCTGCATATCTTAGACTTCGGTAGATCTTAAACCTATTTAAATCTGGTATTGAATAACACTTGATGAATAAATGCATACCACGTGACCAAGTGCCGTAGATAAGTAAAAATATACGGCACCTTGTTATCGGGCTGAAATAGATACAAATGACAGGATAAAACGGAAAAATTGTTTCAGGCTCGGTTATTTGAGCATGTTCATAAACGACATTGGTAAATACAAGCTACCTGCAACGGCTTAATCACTATTTACATATTATAATGCTGATATGTATGCGCAAATATGTTTATACGGTTGTGATCATGGAACTTTTAATGCGCATACGTGCGTGTCATTTCATGAAAAGAAAACGTATGGAAGAAAAAATGGGCAAAACTAATAAAATGTAATATTGTAAGAGGATTTAAGGTTATGAAGTCTGCATATCACAGACATAGACATTATTAATAATACAAACAGACAAACATATCCTATGTAACTGCTGTGTGTATAAAGATACTTAAAAGAGGAACTACCACGAGCTCATTGTAAAAAAACACGACAAATAGTTGATTATCTCAAACTTGGGTTTCACAGGGTAAAATTTAGCGGTGGTTTGTCTGTTCTTTTTATGAATGATATGTTTTGTTTCTTAATACATCAAACACTATCCTCTATAAAATAATTAGTTCTGAAAATTTGACTGGATTTTAACCTCTACCTTTAAAGTGATTAGAATCATTGGGATGATATCCCAAAAGAGCGTGAATTCAAATCGACATGTCATTTCTCAGTTGGTCGAACGTTGTTGGGGTGTTTTGACGCTGCCTTTCCCTCCTGTCCAGTTCGTCCCAAAGATGTTCTATTAAAGACGTATCTGGACTCTAGGATGGCGAGCTAATTGACCGAATGTTATGATTCGCCAGAAAGGTCGGCCATTGTCTTGTTGGAAAATGAAGCTACGTTGTTTAAGTAACAACAACCGGGCGGAGGATTTCATCCTTTACCTAACAGCACTCAAATTCCCACCCAACACAACCAAGGACAAGTGAGATTTTACATCCCAGACCATTATTACATTATTATCCACCTCGGTTGAATGTCGACTTGACTCAGCTGTGAAAAACATCCATCAGACATGTTCTGGGGCATGTGCCGCGAACCAAGCCATTAGACGCATGCGACACGTCCGAATGAGAGGAAGGCCAATGCATGGAAGATTACACTGCAAATAAGAATCACGTAATCTGTTTCTTACAGTTTTAGGGTGAATATATCTTTTGTATTGCCTTCTGCATTGTTACCAGTTTCAGTGACAGTATCGTATCGATTACGCAGGTGGGAAAGACGTTTAAATCTGTCCTGACGTCGTATTGTTACGCATAGGAACCCCTTTACGAGGTCGGTCAGTCGGCAAGCCTTCCCTTTTCTCTATGACATATACTGGCATGCGAGCAGTTCCCGTACAAAAATCATAGTTACTTAATCATTATTTTTTATTACGCTCACTCACCAATATTTGAATGTTACACATCAATATTCGGCTCGTCACACAAATCATGGAAATTCCATCATGTTCTAAACATAGAATAACCCTTACTTATGAGGCCTCATATGGGGTACCGAAATTATCCATTATTTTGTATGAAGAGAAGTAGTTCCCGTACATAAAATCTAACCCATTATAATTATACAATTTTATTATATCGGACCTATTTTTCATTTACAATTGTTGAACAGACCATTATCTAAGAGATAAATAGATGTAATTCAGGAAATAGCTCTAGCGTAGACTAAACGCGGGTATCTTTTACCCGGTACCGTTACCCCAACGCATTCATATGCAGTAACATGCTTGTATGCATGATATTTTACGCATCAAAGCCATAAAATTATTATTTATAGTAATATTGGTCAACATTCTGATAATTAAACAATTTTTCATCTCATTGCCTACTTATTTGTAAACAGGTGGTATTAGTGGAAAACCCTTTAACAAGCCTCACGTGTTAGTATTTTTGCGCATGCGCGCAAGGACGGAATCCCCCAGAGAAAACAAGGTCACGTTTTGACGACGCACAGGTGAAAGTGATTTAAAATGAGACTTTATATACGTACTGCCGAACTGACAATTAGATTTTGTCTCGTTTATGTATCTGCTTGATATGAAATGAATTTTTGAAGAATGCAAGTAAAAATCAAGCGTTTAAATGAAAAATACGGGTACTGCTTCTGTACGGGAACTGCTCGCATGCCAGTATGGTAAAAAGATTTACGCCCAACTGTATTTTAGCATGCTGCGACGTTTGCTTTTACATTAGAAACCCAATGGACTATACCCTCTGAACTTCCGCAATTCGTGATATTACCGTTAGAAATTAAAACAGAGATTTAACTTAGGAAAACAGTCTATAAATCTATAGAGTATCAAATGATATGAAAAATGTGTAATATCAGAATTATTTTTGCACAGAAAATTTATTTTCCATTGCTTGCACTAAGTCAAACGGTACGTTACTTGTTCCGGTATTTTTATTCCGTGTTGAGTATATAATGACTAAGATCACAAGAGCCATGCTATCATGGCCAACCTCTGCCGAATGTGTTTGCCCATTGGAAGAATATATATGTAGTAGAGCAGAATAATTCAATTTTAAGGGGTCTTTTGGTAATGAAAACTTATGACTGGAGTGATAAAAGCTATTGAAACCTAAGTGAATACTGATGGCTGAAAATAACAAAGGGCAATAACTGAAAAATAATGCAGGGCAGCATTATCATTCTTGTGTTCTGCACTCCTCCTCAATGCGATCTATCTATCTGTGAAATTTCAAGTTGATACCTCAAACACTTTTTGAGATAAGCTCCGGACAAAAGTATGAAAAATAACAAAGGGCAATAACTCAAAAATTATAAAGGGAAGAGTTATCATCCTTGCACACAGCATTCCTCCTAAATAAGATCTGCCAACTATGAAGTGACATCTTAAAGACTTTTTTGAGTAATGCTTTACTCAGGTGAAAAATAATCAAGTATGAAAAATAACTCAAAAATTATGAAGGGCATAGTTATCATTCTAGTGCACTGTACACCTCCTAAGTGAGATTTATCAACCTATGAAGTTTCATTTTGATCTCTCAAAGACTTTTTTAGTTATGCTCTGGAAAAAAAATAAGTTTGAAAAATAACAAAGGACAATAACTCAAAAATTATGCAAGGTAGAGTTATCATTCTTGTGCACTGCACTCCTCCTCAATATGATTTATCCAACTATGAATTTCTTGTTGACATCTCAAAGACGTTTAAGTATTGCACCACTCGGGTTCATAATTAAGTATGAAAAATAACAAAGGGCAATAACTCAAAAATTATGGAAAGTAGAGTTATCATTCTTGTGCACTTCACACCTCCTGAGTGAGATCTATCCACCAATGAAGTTTCATGTTGATATCTCAAAGGCTTTTTTTGAGTGATGCTCTGGACAAAAATTTAGTTTCAAAAATAACAAAGGGCAATAACTAAAAAAATATGCAGGGTGGAGTTATCATTCTTGAGCACTGCACTCCTCCTCAATATGATCTATCTACCTAAGAAGTTTCAAGTTGATACCTCAAATGCTTTTTTGAGATATGCTCCGGACAAAAATGACGGACGGAAGGAAGAACGATAGGACGGAAGATTGGACGGACGGACGAAGACTATTTCTATATCCCCCGCCGCCTTTCGGCAGTGGATAATAATCTGACATGTTTTCGTGGTCTTAAAGAAGGCCGTTAAAAATATTAAATATTATTTTGCCCTACATTTCCTTTTTTCTTTGTGTATATATTTTTTTCCAAGAACCTTTCTTTTCTTTACCTTCTTTTTAAAGCAACAACTAAGTGGCGTATGGCAGATGTAAAATTTCCCGTACTTCGTTTAATCTTTCAAAATCATGAAGCCTACTCGTTTTAAAAAAAACATACACATGTAACTTTAATTCTTACTATTATTTAAAAAATGTTTTTAAGTTAATTGCATCAACAATGTGCAGGTACATTACAACAGAAATAAATACCTATTAGAGGCTGATTTATTTGCAATTTTTTCTATCTCATGGTTCTTCACAAACCGGTTGTGTTGCCTCAGGCAAATGCCACACATGTATCTACCATACACGCCACAATTAAAACAGAAGTATAATGCTGGTTGCTGTTTCCCATCGGTGGCACAATGAGAGCAAATGTCTGGATCATCATCATCATCTCTAGCTTCATCACTTCCACATTCTTTGAAACTACGTGACATAGCCATTCTATGAAAAAAAGATATATAAAAATGATTTACAATATTTTCAATACTACTCTATGTTTTGTGTCAAAACTGCATGAAATCGTTATCAAACTGAATAGGCCGAACCATAGATAAGCACTTTCTGCAAAATCGATCGATTAACAATACATCTGAAAATTTGTTCTTCTACCCCCCCCCCCCCCCGAAAAAACCCGACAACAACAAACACACAAACGAAGCACCAGAACAGTCATTGATGAATACTCCCTATTGTTCTTTTAACAAGACTAGCACCAAATCATACAGGGGCCTCATCTTACTTTCAAATATTACCAATTGCAAAATAATTGATAGAGACTTTTCAGTAAATTTCTGTTGAAGGTCAATGCCAAATATGAATAACTAAATATTGAAGTTTTGTTCTGGAGTATTTCTGTGATCGTCTTTGAACTTTTAACTCTTCATTCTTCATGTTTGCACCCAATTAGTGACGAGTATACGACTAAAAACGGAATGAACCTAATTACATCAACTTGTATACAGACAAACACCCCTTTATGTCAAATTAGTGTACTCAGCTGAAGGCCAGTCTAAAACCTGTATATCACTCCTTACCACTTCCGTTGTACGGGAATAATAAAATTATGTAAAGATTTCACATATGACCTTTAAAAACTACAACATGTTTTAAAGTTACATTAAATAAATATGTATAAATATTTTTGCCGTCGGCCTAAAAACCAAGCATTCTACAGATTCATTAACTTAACACTAAAGTTCGTATACGAATTTTAACATGCAAATGAAGATTATAATCAGCTTGTGTAAGCGCTACGTCACAGTGTTGTAGCTGCTATCCGAACACAACAAATATGAGATTTTCTTTTTCAAACGCATTCTAACCATTTTACTTCACGGTGCACTAGGCCTGAGGTTCAGTAAAAGTAATCATCTCATAAAAAAGATTAAATTTGTATGAAAACATCCGTTACAATGCGGAAATCTACCGTTAAATTAGGACTGCTACTTAAATTTAATATTGATGTACGGATGATCTGTAGGCTGAGTTTCTCATGCAAACGAATATTGTACTTCCGATTTTGTCACAATGAGGTTGTCCATTTTTATGCTTATAAAACTCATTTTGGTTGTCTGGACACCAAAATCAGACCTGGAGTCGATATAAAACCCAATCCATTAATGAAATGTCGCTATTTCTGTTTTTATGAAATTTATTAAATGAAACATTAAAGTACGTATATAAATAAGGTTTAAATTTTTCTTAATATAAATTGATAATCAAACAGTTTCTGATATGTAACATCGCTATAAGTTATTCAAAACAATCCAAATAAGCTGACCTATATTGTTATCCCTTTTCAAATCAACTTAAGCAAATATTGTTATAGATATAAAATCTTTTCAATTTAAATTTTTTGATAAGATTGAATATAGAGCAACTTCATGTACACTCGTTATTATTTATATATTCAATTCAATGAATGTTTAAATACTTAATTGTATTGAGAATAAATTTTTATGCTGTTTTTTAAGGTCGATGTTATACCCACAAGTAACTGAATACCTTTTGGTATTTACATAAAGTCATGTAGGAACAATGAGACGGTATTTTGTGGAAATCATGCGTCGTAAAATTCTTTAAGCCGACTATTAAGAAAAAAAATGATAAAGCTTTAACAGTAATGTTCTATCGTTTTATCACATCCTCATGTAGTTTTTCACGACGTAAAAAGCGTATGCCATATTTTAATGTGATACAAAGATAGCGCAGAAATTCACTTTATGTTAAACTTTAAGCGCGTCAATGAAAAATTTATTGTTTTAATTGAAAAATTGTTTTGTTTTACGAACATGTATGTGATAAATAGGTCATTGTTTTCGTAAATGTTCATAACTAGTTTATTGTACACATTAAATGAAATAATGATATTCAATTCGTTCATAAAATTAAGTATATATCAGAAGTATGACTTATGAATATAAACAGAAAAAAAAATTATCCAAAGTGATGAAAATTCTTCAGACTTGTGTTCAATGAATATATTTATGGTTAGATTCAATAATCATTACGTAGCATAATATGAGAAAAATATTACCTTTCTTTCGCATTCGTTATGGCGTAGCTCAATATAGAGATATAAAGCAATACATATTTTTGCGCATGCTCATTAGGTCATCTTGGTTATTTTAATCTCTAAACAGCAGAAGAATGTGTTGTACAAAAATTATATTTATTTAAACTTGATGTCGATATTTTATTTTGAAATTAATTGTTTTTTAAGAGACTGAACTGGCTGGTAGCCGAATATTCGTAGACGGGCTATAAATAGTTTTATCGAAAGTTATAAAGAGATAATAAGGCTACCATTTTGATATTGGCGCAGACTGTCGTATCTTTTTGTTTGTAAAGAAGTCAGAAAAGTCTACTACCATTTGCAACACTATTTGGTCTTGGTCTTTTTTTTTTGACAGTTGCCAAGTCAATATTATAAAGCCTATCTTAACAAACAAACAAACAAACAAACAAACAAACAAACAAACAAACAAACAAACAATATTTGCTATATTTCTTTTGTTGGCTATAGCTTACAATCATCAATCATAGCGTGTATCATTTGGTCAGGTGCAGTACGTCTAGCAAGGAAATGTCACTGATTTATGATTTTCCTTTCGTTGTGTGTGATAAAAGAGGGACACATCTGTCTGCGACAGGAAACGCTATTACATATTTTATGATATTGTCATCTCATTTAACGTTGTTTTTTTTTAAATTATTGTAGTTATATTTTTATATTGTTTCACCGATATATGCTCATCTGATAACTATTGTGAATTGGATCCTGTCACTTATAGAATTGCTCGTGTCTATGATAGAACTGATCGTGACTTTGTTATGATATAAAATTGTGAAATAGATTCCTGTTTCTTATAAAATTGCTTGAGTTTGTTACAGAATTTATCGAATTTTGTGTCAACTTATCCTGTCTGTTGTACAACTGTTATTTCCGGGGGGGGGGGGGGCACTGGTTAATCTCGGTGTAAAGCATATCTTGGCTGAAGAGAAACTAGGCTTAAAAAATTGGTCCCGCTCGAATGTTACTTTATTTATATAGAGACATCTTAAACGATTCGGGTCTTTTCGCCCTCTTTTATGTTTTAATGTCCTATAGTAAGTACCCTGTATAAAACTGACCTTTTTCGGTTCAAGAATGACCATTACTGTCAAAAAAGGGATTGTGCCTTTTCACCACGTGGTGAACTGATTAACTTGAATGACAAATAAAAGTAACGTAAATAAGCGATATTATACATTTAACGCGAGAAGTGGTACAAATAAAATATTTGTCCCTGTAATTCTTCCTATTTTTTTTTGCTCATAGAATTATAGTTGTTTTTGTTATGTTTAATACAATGTTAAGTCGCATTTATTTAGTATAGACTTCGTTTCATTTAAAACTAAGTTAAATGTATGCCAATACGAAACATTTTCGATGCACCTACCAGATTGATATTTCCTATCTTGAGTGATTATTACAAATGAAAGTTAAATGTATAGCATGCATGTCGTAGAAATAAACTTTAGATCACTGGTACCACTGAACCACTTTGTAATCACTGATGCCGGTGATAAGATGTGTAAAAATATTTCCTTTAATGTATGGTTTAAATACACCTTATGGTTGAGGAATACATATTTTGGACAACAACGAACGGTGGACACATTTATTGCAATCACGAATGTTCACCTCTTAGTACTGCGTGCACATGTAAGCTAAAAAGGACAAAATACTTTATTATTTCGCATAAGCAGCTATGAATTAAATATTATAGTGTTTCGCCAATAATTGTACTATGGCAATTAATATACCAAAAAATAATTTGAATGAAAAGTGGTATTCAGTGAGCTAATTTGCTCTAGACTTGGAAATGACATAAGTAAAATAGGGAACCCAATGATTGTCCCTTGTCATGCAAAGTTTTAAGTGTTTTTACTCATGAGCAGTCAATAAGCATTCTTTTTCTGTTAAGTAGTGATTCCATTTATATAAACAAGATAGTCATGATGGACCTTATAAAGTTCGCCAGATAATATAGGTTTTAGATAACTAAGCAATATTAATATATGGATTTATAATAATCAAATTCTTAAAAGTTGTAAGCAATTTTAGTTATGTAGGTGTAACATTAACACAACAGTTGTCCTTGAACAGAATGGCTAGTGAACAAGGGTCTAAAGCTAAAATAGTACTTATCTCTATACTTTCGCAATTATATGACTACGAACAGTAACCCCCCAAAAGTGTTATTTAATATTTTTACACGAAAATTGGTCCTATTTTACTTTATGGATCAGAAATTTTGGGTACACACAAGTTAGTACAACCAGAATTAGTGCATAACTATGCATGTAAAAGATATTTAATTGTGAAAGAAAATTACAATTAATGCAGTTGTCCTATGTGACTGTGGGAGATTTCCTATGTTTATAAATGCTGCTAAAATGGCTGTAAGATATTGGTGTTAAATACTCAGAATGGGCGAGCACAGGCTAGGTTAAAAATACTATTTCTTGCAGTTGTTTTTGGATAGTACGGGGCAATCTAATTGGTGTACTGGTATACGCAATTTATTGTGAAAAAAGTGTTGGTTACATTTGATATAAACAAACAATCAATAATGAAGACCTTTTTTTATAAATTCCTTCGTACAAAATTTAAGGGACCAATATTTACGAATGGCAAGGATATATAAATGATAGCTCTAAATTGTATGCGTATAAAAGTTTAAATGCAATTTTTAACATGAATATTACTCAAAAGTAGTGACAATTAGAAATTTCAGAAATGCTCTTGCTAAACTTCGGTTGTCCTCCCATGATTTAGAAATTGAAAAAGGTAGATACCAGAATATTTTAAGAGAATATAGGATAAAGTTTAAGCAAGCAATTTTTAGTCAAGATTTTTTTTAACTCATAGTTTGAACAAAAATGTATATCTTTTTAGCTCACCAGAACCGGCATCCGTCGTCCATCGTCATGTGTCAACAAACTGATGGGCAGATTTACTTCAAATTTGGTCTGTATCATCCTTTTGACAGTCACTCTTAAATTTACTCATGTCATTTTAATTGACCCCGTTTAGGGGTCAACAGAGCTGAAAATAGAATATTTTTTTTAAACATCTTCTACAATGTACTACAGAACTAATTGATGGATGATCACCAAACTTTGTCTGTAGCATTCTGAGGTAGTCTTTTATCAAGTTTGGTCATATTAATTTGATTGGCCCCTTTAAGGGGTCTCTAGATCTAAAAATAGAAAAACCTTTATATAATTTCTTCTACAGAACTAATGGATGGATGATCACCAAACTTTGTCTGTAGCATTTTTGGGTACAAGTTTGCTCATATTAATTTGATTGACCACTTTTAGAGGCCACTAAAGCTACTAAAAATAGAAATACATTTAAAAGTCTGCTTCAACAGAACTTATTGATGGATGATCACCAAACTTTGTATGTAGCATTCTTTTATCAAGTGTGCTCATATTAATTTGATTAGCCCCTTTTAAGGACGGCTAAAGCTAAAAATAGAAATACATTTAAACATCTCCTTTTACAGAACTTATTAATGGATGATCACCAAACTTTGTCTGTATCTTTCTTGGGTAGTCTTTTATCAAGTTTGCTCATATTAATTTGATTGGCACTTTTCAGGGGCCGCTAAAGCTAAAAATAGAAAAACCTTTGAACATCATCTCCTACTAAGCTAATTAATGGATGATCACCAAACTTTGTCTGTAGCATTCTTACCAATCTTAGGTAGTCTTTTATCAAGTTTGCTCATACTAATTTGATTGGCCCCGTTTAAGCTAAAACTTAAATGCCCCAGGTCATGGCATTGCTTCAAATTATTGTTTAAAGATATTTCATGCCCAAATTTAATGTTAGAAAATTTTGACAATAGATAATTCCAAACACTAAAAAGCAGTTGTTTCTGGTGAGCGACTCAGGGCCATCACTCCTGAAAGGTTTGGTTGAAATCCCACCAGTAGTTTGACCTGTGAAGGGCGGACAAGATTTTTCTATTTTTAGCTCTGGTGGCCATTTTGTGCAGCAAATCAGAACGTTCGTGTGATGTGCACAACTAGGGATGGTACTGATCACTCCTGTAAAGTTTAGTTGAAATACAACCAGTAGTTTGACCTGTGAAGGGCGAACATTTTTTTTTCTATTTTTAGCTCTGGCGGCCATTTTGTACAGCGAAGCAGAACGTGCGGGTGACGTGCACAACAAGGGATGGTACTGATCACTCCTGTAAAGTTTGGTTAAATATCTAAGCTCTAAGCTTTAAACCTTCAGACAAGAATTTTTTTAAAGTTTTTATTATATACATATAAGGAATATCTATGACCCCCGGGGCGGGGCCAATTTTGACCCCAGCGCTATAATTTGAACAGCTTTGGTTTAGGACCAATAGATGATATTATATACCAAATATCTAAGCTCTATGCCTTGTACCTTCAAACAAGAAGAATGTTTAAGTTTTAAATATATACATACAAGGAAAACCTATGACCCCGGGGCGGGGCCAATTTGACCCCAGGCGTTAAAATGGCATCGGAACAACGATCTTCAATAAAACTTTGTGTTTTGAACGGGTTTTCTAAGAAAGAAACAATGTTATGATTACAAAAAGCATATGGTGATCAGGCGATGAAGAAAACAGCAAAGTACAAGTGGTATGCCCGATTTATAGGCGGCCAGCAAAGCATCCATGACGACGAACGCAGTGGACGTCCCAACGTAATGTCAAATCACGTCGCTGTGATAAAGGAGCTGCTTGACAATTCGCGAAATACACGAAAGAAAGATCGGATTGTAGCATTGGCACAGTGCATCGCATTATTAACGATAAACTCCATATGAGACGCCTGTGTGCAAGGTGGATTCCTAAATTGTTGACGGACGAACAAAAAGTGGAAAGGGTGCGGTGTTGCAATCAATTTCTCAGACGCTTTCATAGAGAAGGTGAACGTTTCTTGCGACGGATAGTAACTGTTGATGAGACATGGATCAGCCTATACGAACTTCTATGTGGAAAACTCCAGGAGTCGGCCCATCTGCAAGGAAACAGATGTTCATCGTCTTCTTCGACGTCGACGGTGTGATACTGAGCCACGTGGTACCCCTGGGTCAGACTGTGACGGCGAAGTATTATTCTAAGGTGAATAAATTTATTTAATCTATAATAAGATATTCGGTATTATGTCAATACATAATCTAATAATTATTTATATTTGTGTAAGTAATTATAAAAATATTTTATAACGACAATTTACTTTTGATTGTATTTCTTTATGCTTTCAGATTCTGAGACGCGATTTTATGAGGGGGATGAGAAAGAAGCGGGCCACGAAAATCGCCGACACGATATTTCATCACGACAACGCACCGTCTCATCGTGCGGCCGAAACACAGTACATTATCAGGAAACTCGGCTTCGAAGTCCTCGAGAACCCGGCCTACAGCCCTGACCTCGCACCAAGCGATTTCTTTCTGCTCCCGACACTGAAGAACGTCATGCGGGGAGAACACTTTGATGACGTTAACGAGTTGTCCTACGCGGTGCAAGGTGCAATTTCAGAGATAAATAATGGCTCCTACTTTAATAGTTTCATGTCATGGATAAACCGTTGTAAAAAGTGTGTTTCCTTTCACGGAGAGTATTTCGAGAAGGAGTAGGTGCGTGTTTTTGGTGACTCTCATACATGCGTTGAGCGTGACGTCGTTACGACGTTTGGCCGGTTTCACTGCGATTACCTTAGAAATACTTGAAATTGTACAAATTAATTTTTATCCGATTTTATTGAAATTTTGTGTACATGTTTATTATATGTTTATTTACAAAATGTTAAGAGAACGTCAATTCCCCATGAATATTAAAAATATGGCAGCACTTTTCCGCGTATTTATTGAACAGCCCTCGTATATACATAAAAGGAAAGCCTATGACCCCCGGGGCGGGGGCAAGTTTGACCCCATGGCTATAATTTGAACTACTTTAGTAGAGGACCTAAAGATAATATTATATACCAAATATCTAAGCGCTAAGCCTTGTTATTTTGAACTAGAAGAATTTTTAAGTGTTTACTATATACATAAAAAGAAAACCTCTGACCCCCTGGGGCGGGGCCAATATTGACCCCAGCGCTATAATTTGAATAAGTTTGGTAGAGGACCTATAGATGATATTTTATACCAAATATCTAAGCTCTAAGCCTTGTACCTTCAAACAAGAAGATTTTTTAAAGTTTTAAGTATATTCAAATAAGGAAAACCTATGACCCCGGGGCGGGGCCAATTTTGACCCCAGGCCTATAATTTGAACAAATTTGGTAGAGAACCTATAGATGATATTTTATACCAAATATCTAAGCTCTAAGCCTTGTACCTTCAAACAAGAAGAATTTTTAAGTTTTAAATTATAAATACATATATGGTAAACCTATGACCCCCGGGGCGGGGCCAATTCTGACCCCATGGCTATAATTTGAACAACTTTGGTAGAGGACCTAAAGATAATATTATAATATACCAAATATCTAAGCTTTAAGCCTTGTACCTTTATACAAGAAGATTTTAAAAAAAAAAATTTACCAGATACTATAAGGAAAATCTATGGCCCCCTTTTGTGCTCAAGTGAGCTAAAAACAAACAAAAACAACATAAAGTAATGGCATTATTTAACCAAATTTCATTTTTTTTACCAGCGAAGATTAAATAGGAATAAGATTTTTGTTCTTATTTCCAAACCTTATATTAAAAGAACACTTAATCTTGACTGAATAAACAACGAAAATTATTACATGTAGTTATAATATATTTCTTTCTTACATAAATATTTTTTATGTTAACAATAAACCATTTAGTATGTTTTAGGAAGTCTTATATACTGTATATCTAACAAAGAAGCTTATTTACAGAGTTATAATATTTGTTGTTACAGTAAAATAAAAGTGAAGTCAATTCTCGTTATCATGAAGCTGTAATTTTTCAGTTCAGCTTATGTGCAACATACAATGTATGTGCAATAAGAATAAATTTTGGATTTTTTTTTTTTTTTTTTGTGGCGTAAAAATATTCTTTAGAAAATAAGACATTTCGTTCATTCCATAACATACACAGATTATATGTTATACATTTTAGTATGTACACTGTTTAAATAGATTAGAAGGAAATATATCAACATTTATGATGTTCTTCTTGATCAGGGAATAATTCAGTCGAGAAATACATGATCTGGTATACCTACACACAGTGTGAGTGTATTAAGTAAGATGAGTCTAACATATACCCTAATGTTGATGACCATAAATCACTGCAACTTTCAAAAAGGCCAGGTCTGGGTCTTCCGGAATGATGACGTTAACAGTCGGGAAGGCTTTTATTATGGCCTCTTGAACTATTGAAGACTTGGAAAACCCGCCGACCATCAGAAATATGCCCGTTCCTTGAACCTCAGGTGCTTTCAGTAAATGTTGAACATGATCTACTATACTATCAGTGCAAGATTTGAACAGATTTTTGACTATCTCTGCGTCTAGTCTTATTCTATCCGATACCCATGTAATTCTACCTTTATATTGTGATATCTCTATAGCTTGTCCTATACTTTCATGATTTATTTCTCGGAATACTTCATCTATTGAAACTGGAACTTTGATTGTTTGAAAACTATTGCTGTCATATTTGATTGATCTGAGTTTTCCTTCAATTTCTCTTTGCAAATCAATTTGATCATCAGCATACTCGTCAATCCATTTCTGACAGACTGCGTCACCTGTTATATTACGAAGGAGTTCATGAAATTCCTCTATCACCATGTTTTCACTACATGCTATACCAGTTGCCGATTTGATTTCTAAAAGGCCACCATCCGACTGACGCACTAATATAGTGAAATCAACAGTATTACCTGCAAAAAAATTGTTTGTTAACTTTTTAAAACTTTTTTAATATACTTAAGCTTTATTCATCTATGTCAATTAGTAATCAAAATATGAACGATTTGTCAGTGATTGTTTTATTTTTCTTGTTCTAATATCAGCTGTGCACACTTAAGTAATTAACAGAATTACATAAAACATTCAAATTTTTTACTAAGTAAACAGTTTCAATGGTTTTAATTTAACATTGGACATATTATTTAGGAAGATCAATTTACAGTTTTTCTAACTATTAAAATGTAGCTAGAAAAATATATATTAATCCAAAAGCAACAAAAAAGAAACAGTTTTATAAAGCTTTACATAGTCGTAAGCACCAATTATGACTATTGGCAATATCTTGTTCATGAAAATGAGAAATTGTTTTTCCCTTTAACTTTATAGGAAATATGCTTAAGGAATCTGCTGTTAATTGAATAATAGCGTACAAATTTTATTTTTAATTAAGTAGCACAATACAACTGTATTCTTAAGTAACCCAATATAATTATTACTCCTAGTAATTTTTCTCCGAATACATATTTTATTGGTAAAAAAGGTTGTTGTTAAATTTATTTATACAATTGATTAAGTATATCTGTCCTCTTAGTCATGTAACATAGACATCTTAAGATCATGAATTTTAGAGTGGTCAATAAGACCTAGATATAAACTGTCCTTATTATAATGTAACAGAAAAATGTATTAAGTTCATTCCCTTAATCCTGTGTAACTTAGTGCCTACCTCCAAGATCAATAACCATACATTTTGTCCCAGGACTGGATTTATCGGCAGTCGTTTACGATAATTTCCAAATTGATTTATTTTTAATTTGGTAGTATACAATTGCTGCTTCTGGTTCTGTGAAAATTGTCAACTTTGTTTCTGCAATATCAGCCTTAAATATTAAACAGGATAATTCTGCATTTTTTCCTCAAATCTGTAAGGAATGATTACATAAATATTGTTCTCTTCCACACGGTTTGATTGAGTAAAACCAGGTTCCAGATGCTCAACTTCCAAGTTAAGTTTGCAATATAAAGAAATTCGTTTCAGATGTCTACTTGGATCAAATGTTTATAAAATTGGACGACATGCAGAAGCACATTTAGGGTACAGAGTCAATGTCAAAGTCAAAGAAAAAAGTGTAAAGTTCCAGCAATCAATTCTGAGACAGATCTTTTTTAGAACTGTTTGGTGCGACATAAAACCCAACAAGAAAGTGATAAATGATGCTTGTGTCGAATATTTGCTTCATTGACATGTCGTGCAGATTACATACATTAACATGTCCTGCAGAACACACATTGTCGCTCTCTACTCCAAGGTTTAAGTCCCAGAAAAATGTCAATGTTTTTTCAACCTTAAAATAAGTCGTCTTCATTGTTTTTCTTGCTAAACAAATTGTTATTATTCATGATGTCTGCCTTAAAAGTTTAGCTCAACTAACGCAACGTATATATGGTGAGTTGAGTGCGTTGTCCGTCGTATGTCATTAACTTTTGTTTCAAGCAATATCTTTTCCTAAACCAGTGGGCCGATATTTTAAGTAAGAAAATATTTAAAGAATTTTCATTTCAGGCAGAAGTTTTGTTGCCATGGCAACCGAAAGAAAAACCTTACAAATATTCTTCCTAAAAGCACAAGGGCTGGAGTTTAAATATTTGGGATGTAATATTGCCTGACAGGTCGATATCAAGTTATTTCATATCTCAAGTGTCAAAATTGGCTCCATCCCGCGTTGTCATGGGTTTTCCTTGTATGTATATACACTGTAGTAAAAACTTACAAAAAACCTCTTTTCATGAGAAATGGCAAGGGTAAAGCTTAGATTTTGGTAGTTACATTGCCTAGCAGGTGTAACGTTAGTAACGACACGATCGTATAGTGATTTATTCAAATACTGTCCTTAACATAAATTAAGTTATCTAAGAGCAGAACTACGAGAAACTCCTACTGTTAAAACAATGCAATAATTTTTATAATGATTTTGCACGTGCTTCTGACAGCTAAATGACATACCAAAGTAGCCAATCACATTTAGTAAAACATACTTTTGATACGCCCTATAACCGATAATAAGCACGTTTACATTTTCAAATTTGACTTTTGGTAAAATGTTATATTGATAAACACTCATCATAACAATTAAAATGGTTTATAATTAATTGTCATTTTAACGTCTTATTTGACGAACTGTACTACAATATCGAAATTCCATAATCGAAGTAAACATTATCTATCAGCTGACAGGCAAATAACAAGGTTTTATTTCAATGCTGGAAATGTATCTGTAGTTAAACTTTCAATTTTATGAGACAACATTCCAAAGAAATGTATATTATATTGGCATACAATTAAGTAACGAAGTTTGCAATCAAAACTTATTAAACTTTCAATCAATGAAATCAAATAAGATAATTAAAACATGAACAGTTAATTAACCATAAATGTCACTATTTTACACACCTCGCCCACATAAAGAAATTTACTCAATTAGAATTGAGTATTTATACATAATTTAGTAACTAGTAACATAGTTCACTTACTAAAATACACTATTAAAACATATCGAATTCACGAAATATAGAGAAAAACGCACTTGAACTGATTTTTTAAGAAAGAAAGAAACACCACCAAGAGAAAAGACTTTTATAAGTGGTGACTCTGTGATAAAGGGGATTCAACAGAAACGATTGAATGATCAAATAGATATCAAGAAATGCAGTGGGGCGAAAATAAAAGACATTCCAAGCAGCCTAGACAATTTGGATATGGGACAATATTCTAACGCCATAATACATGTAGGCTGAAATGACGTTAGTGGCGGCAAACGTCACGATACGTCCTACCAGGAACAGATGGAAGTAACTGTAACACTTCAAGAACAACAAGAGTTTTTCTTTGTACTCCCAAACAGGATGTAGATATAAGCCAGATAAATCGGAATATTTATCGGATATGTCAGGAAACTGGGGCTTACTTGATCGGAACATATCAAGCATTTGTATACAGCAATGGAGATACGGTGGAGTAATATTTCTCCAGTGATGTAATACACTTAAACATGTATGGTTCCAGGACCTTAGTGGCTACAATAAATGAGTGCGTACAAATAATAAAACATAAAAGGTATGTTGACGCACATGTATCACAGAGGTCTGCGGGGACAACAAAATGGAATATTCTGCTATTATTTCGGGATAACTGGTTATCACATATCATTGTTCTGTGCAGATGAGCAACGCCGCGATTCATTATGGGGAAAGACAGACTTGGAACGACAGAAGACCCGGAAGTGAAAATTATTATCAGAATAGCGTTAGAATAAATAGGAATTAGGAAATATCCGACAGGCACTCAAATTTTGAAAATCAACAATTTAAAACATATATTTGTATTTAAAGTAAGGTAACTACTTATAAATCTATATTCAAACACATTCTCTATAGCGATTTTCAAACTAATATATCAATCGGTTCTAATAAAACTATATCGAAAATTCATATCTCACTTACTAATACAAAGATATTGTATTAAATGCAAAATAGTATTGGATAAATGCTTATGTGCGAATCGATCTTTTAATATCACAAACTCTTCAATATATATAACACATTTTTTTGATGAAAATATTTATTGTAAAGATAAAACATCGAATGTTATAAATTATTCCGAGCTATTGTTAGGAACGCCATGTACTAAATGCACTCATGAGGGGCGAATTCGTTCTGAGAATCATCCGAAAATCAATTTATTAATAAATAATCACACACATGTATGTAAAACAACTAAACAACACACAGTAATACAAAGTGCAGTAGACAACTCATTACTTTTTGATTGAATGGGACTTTTTATTGCAAGTCTCAATAGACAACATTTATAACCAAAGTTGGATGAAATTAAACATATTTTAAACCATTCTAAATCACAAAAAATCATTTCCTTATGTGATACATTCTTAAACGATAATATAAATAATGACTACCTTTACATACGAAACTATAACTGCGAGAGACGAGATAGATCAAATGGGAAGGGTGGGGGAATAATTTCTTATATTTCTGAAGATATTACATATAAACGTCGGAATGACTTTGAAATAAATGATACGAGTCAATCTGGTTACAGATACTTATCACAAACTGTAAATCCTTTCTTTTAAATTTTGTTTATCGTCCTCCCAATTCTCCTCAGTCCTGGATTGATTTGTACGAAGAGCAAAATGAAATGATTGATACTTCGCTTATTGGTTATTATATACTGGGCGATTTAAATATTACTTATTTACAATTGGAAACGGAAATATTTAGAAATACAAAATGTAAGAACACAATAACTAAGTTCGGTTTATTTTTCTGTATGCATAATTATTCAACTAAAACTAACAAAAATATAAAAAATATGGGTTGCGTAAGGTGATAAAATATAGAATGACTAAAACTTTTTGTGAAGAAAAATTTCAACGTGATCTTTTAACATCTGGTATAGATATTTCTGAAACAATTACAAATCTAAATAACTCTAATTTCTTTTACTCTGTTTTAAATGAAGTATTATCAAAAATTGCACCAATGAAAGAAAAACTCGTAAAACGGGAGCACCAACCTAACTGGTTTACAGATGAAATTTAAACTAGAAATGTGTCCATAGGACACGGGTGACCCCACATGCCACCGTTCTGTCAATCTTATGACTCTAGGTCAAATATTTTTTGGACTACATTTGAAAACTCAAAATCTTTAACAAAGTAAAGGGCAGGAACTTAATAAATACTCAATAAATCCACAAGCAAACCCCAATGTGCATAAGTACACATGCTGACAAACATTCTTGTAACATTTCAGGCCTACAAGTCAAATACTTTTTGAGCTATGCATGAATAAATTGAAAATTGCAAATTTATACTACTGTAAGTCAAGGGCAATAACTCTAACAAAAATGTGAAAAAATCCACATGAAAAGTCCCAGGTGCATAGCTTTACAGTGATGTTGATCATAATGCCTGTAATTTAGTGATATTGATAATTATTCCTGTAAAGTTGGTTGATTCTAACTCACACACTCAAGGAACAAGTCAAGGAAATAACTCTACAAATATTGGATAAATCCACAAACGAAACCTTAGGTACACAACTACATATGCTATGCAACCTTCACATATGCTATGCAACCTTCCCGTAAGGTTTAATGACTCTATGTCAAATCTGTTTTGAGTTACATGCAACACAAGTTGAAAATTGCAAAAGTTTACTAAGTCAAGGGCAATAACTCTAAAAATACTATATAAATCCGCACGAAAATACCCAGGTGCACAACTAAACATGCTGATCAACATTCCTGTAAAGTTTCAGGAATCTAAGTCAAATCTTTTTTTAGTTACGTGCGACACAAGTTGAAAATTGCAAAATTTTACTAAGTCAAGGGCAATTCCTCTAAAACTACTATATAAATCCACACAAAAAATGCCCAGGTGCACAACTACACATGCTGATCAACATTCCTGTAAAGTTTCATGACTCTATGTAAAACCCTTTTTGAGTTACATGCGACACAAGTTGAAAATTGCAAAATTTTACTAAGTCAAGGGCAATAACTCTAAAAATACTAAATAAATCCACACGAAAATACCCAGGTGCACAACTGCACATGCTGATCAACATTCCTATTAAGTTTCATGACTCTAGGTCAAATACGTTTTGAGTTACTTGCGACACAAAAGAGAACAGACGGACGGACTGACGGATGTTCTCACAGGAC